ACAGACCTGCTGGGTCTGATAAAGTAAACGTCCAAGGGAAAGCCTGAGACCACACTTTAAAGTATTATATGTTAAATTATTGTTTTCAAGAACTATGCTCCCACAGTGCACATTCTGTATTCCTGCTTGGCATCCACTTGTTATTTCAACCTTTGCTCTTTCTCTGTTCTTTACAATAGTCTGACCCTTCTGTACAGATGACTCCTCTGATCTTTAGTGCAGCAAGTTTCATTAACAAACACTTTTACATCACATAAATGAACACATTAATTGTGTGTTAAATGACAGCAACACCTAACTAGGTGTTACAGGACACCCGAGTCCCAGGTAAGACTGCATTAGAAAAGATGAAAAATCAAAGCACCCTGAAAACAGCATGAAGTAGTGTACTGCATTACAGTGGAAATACACAGTGATCTACAAGGACACCTAGAGCAGATTGTATTTGGCTATGTGTCAGCAAGGACACGAGAACCTAAGCAAGAAGCACCTCCACATTAGGAAGTATTGTGAGGGGAGCTGGCTGGAAAAGTTTCAGGGACAGCACGCCGCTACCTGCTGCAGGAGTGGGACATAACTCATGTTCCAAACCACCATCACTGCTCTTAGGGATCAAAAATCTAAAGAGTTTGGGACGTGCCGCCGAAAATGCCTTTGGGAGCCGCACAAGGCCAGGAGCGAATCTCCGGCAAGATCCTATCCTCGCCGACAACCGGCTGCAGCCGCGGGCGGGGGCCGGGGCGGGCCCGAGGCGAGCGGGCGGGTCGGCGGGGCGGGGGCTGAGGCTAGCTCCGCTTGCCAGCACGGCGCCAAACAGCGCGTCCCGCCCCTCGCTGCGTGCCGGCGGCTCCCCGCGCAGCGCGGGCCTCCGCAGCGCCGCCTCCCGCCGCCCGCATCGCCGGTCCGCAGGAGACGACGCCAGGCGCACCATGCCAACGAGACAGGCGGGGTCCCCTCCTCCCCGGCCTCCTGCACCGGACAGGCGCTGCCGGAAAGCCGGGGTGCAGGGTGGGGAAGTGGCGCCAACGCCCCGGGCCAGCGGCATTGAGCGGAGCGCCCCTGCAGCAGCGGCGCCTCCTCCTGCCTCCTTCCCCGCCTCTCTTTCCTGCCTCCCTCGCTGGCCCGTTGCTGCCCGCGCCCTGCGGCAGTCGCTCCGTGCCCGCGGCCTTCCCCCGCGGGCAGGGCGGGGAGAGGAGAGGAGAGGAGAGGAGGGGCGGTGTGTGCCGCGGCGGGGAGGGGGCGGTCCGAGGCGCAGGGGCGGGACTCACGTACTCTGCACCTGCAGGTCCATCTCGCGCATCTCGGTGAACCTGTCGCGCAGATCCATGGGAAGCTGCTCGATCACTGCGGGGACAGCGGGAGGGGAGGGGGGGAGGGGGGAGTCAGTCACTCGCCGCCGTGGGGGAGGGGGCGCCGCCTCATGGCCGCGGCTCCCGCCCCGGTCCCGCTCCACCGGCCGTGCCCGGCCGCCCGGCGCCCCCGTCCCGCACACACTCACTCTCCAGATAGTCCTCCAGATACAGCATGGCGGCAGCCGGGCCCGCGCCAAGGGGCTCCTCGCTAACGGGGGCTCGTCCCTTCCAATATGGCGCCGCCGCCAACAACACCAGCAGCTCGACTCAGCGAAAACAACATTGGCGGCTGACGGCGCTCGCTGCGGCCGCGCCGCGATTGGCTGTCCGCGCGGCTGACGCACACCGTGCCCGCGCTCTGCCGCGCGGCCTCACGGGAAATGTAGTCTCTCTGTGGGGAGGTGGCGGGAAACTACATGTGCCGCCATGCGCTGCGGCGGCCGCGCCCTCTCCGCCTGGTGGGAGGTCCGGGGAGCTCGGCCCCATCCAGACCCGCCTGTGCTGCGGGGCGTTGTCGTTTTGGTCCGTCTGCGGTGTGTGTTTTTTGTCTGGGAGTAGCCTCTCAGTCCCCGCTGACCCCGGCCAGGTTGGACAGGGGGGCTGCCGGAGCGGCCGGGCGACCGGCTGAGAGACCTGCTCCAGCGGAGCGCCGCCAGCCTGGCGCTGTGTGAAGGGAGAAACTTGCAGCGCGTGCACGAGGCTTCGTGCTTGGTTTCCGTCCGTTACGTTAAACGGTAGTTGCTGGTAATAGCGCGTCAAAAGCTGAAGGGATGGCAGAACTAATGAAATCGTCGTTATTTTCCTGCGAGGGTAGTGAGGCAGTGACACAGGTTGCCCAGAGAAGCTGTGGCTTGTCCCATTCCTGGCAGTGTTCATGCCAGGTTGGACGGAGCTTTGGCCAGTCTGGTTTGGTGGAAGATGGCCCTGTCCATGGCAGGGGTTTGGAACTAGATGAGTTTTAAGGTCCCTTCCAATCCAAACCTTTTTATGATTCTGTGATTTCTGTGTCTTCTCATGAGTGACCTGAGGTGAAACAAGCTCCTGTGTTCACAGTGCATCAGTAACACAGGTAGTGACAACACCACAGGCACGCAAGAGCACACACTTCTGTGGGCTTTAGCACTGCTGCTCAAAGTAGAAAAAATAATTAGCAGATAGTAGTAGCTGCAGTTTAATTACAACAGCTCTTGCTTATAGCCTTATTATAAGATCTTACTTGATTGAGATTGAGATTTAGATTTTTCATGCAGTTTCAGTCCCCCCAAGGGTTATTTCATCATTGTTTTATCACTGTAATTACTGCTCTAATCATGGATTGGTGCTTTTACTAATTTTTTCACTGGGGGAAGGAATTTTTTGGGGCTTACATGTTACCAGGTATAGGTACAGAAGAATAAGCATTGTGGTAGCAGAACAGGCTGGTTTTCTGCCATGCTATCTACTTTTCAGCTTCCCATATGTGTCCAAGCAAGGAAGAAGAGTGTATGCTGAAGCCAAGACTGAGTAAAAACCTGCATGGGATGGTTTTGAGTGCCAGGACCAATGGAAAACAGCATTCTTTACTCATGTTTTAAGCTCATATAGGGTGAGTAGTTAAGGATGACTAAATTTGGGGCAGTGAAGTGTAAATTTTGTGTGTACCCTTTATGAAGAACGATGTTAGCCATGTCTTGAACGTAAAGGGTATAGCTAAGTTTTGTTTTTTTTTTTAATTCCTATCTCATTACAGATCAAGGGAAAAAAAAAGTATATCAGTAACTATCAATGTCACAAAAAAAGTGCTGTGCCAAAGTGGTCACTTTCCATACTCATTCCGTCATTGGCCATGTAATCTGTGCTGCGGAAACAGAAATATCAGCTAGTTTCATACGCACCAATGAGCAGTTTCTAGATGGTCATTAAGCTCACTTGTAAGAATCTGTATATTGTTGCTCCTATAGATTGCTTTTTAATGTATGCTCATACAGATCACTTTTGGTAATGTACTTTTGACACACAGGAGTAGGAATGACAAAGTTTTTGAAGTTTTGTGTGAGAAATTGCTTGGTCTCATTTTGCTATGTAGAAGTCAAGACTGACCCTTCCTGGGAAGACAAACGCCTGAATTTTTATTTAAGGGAAAGGGTTTCATGCAACAAGGGAATTTAGACTATACAAAAGCACAGCAAAGTCCTGACATCCTATATTCATCAGGAGAAAAGGTAGGTGAGTTTAGGGAAATCTGAATTGATGGAGTCACTTTCATTTTTGCTTAGTAGTGGCTTTAATATTGGTTGCTTGGTTTTTTGGTTTGTTTGTGTTTTTTTTTTTTTTTAATTGTCATAGACATGTTTGGGAGCACATTTCATGCAGCAGAATAAGAAAATATTGCACACAAATACAGTGCAAAGACTCCACTGTCAGAACCACAACTGAAACACAGGCATAGAGTAAGTTCTTACCATTTGCTTCATAACCACAATCCTAGGACAACCAGGACATTGAGACCTTGTGACTTCGTGCTCCCAGTTTTCATGTCTGAGTTTGCCACATTGATCTTTGCAAGCATGGGAATAGCCACCAAAATCCTCATGGAGGGCTATTGTGCAAGGCATTTTCATCTAGTTCCTCTTGTGTTGTGGTTCCCAGATCAAGTAAACCAAGAAACATAGCTTCTGGGCCTGTGTCTTGGTCATTACCTTTAGTAGCTAGCAACATGTGTACTGTCTGCACCAGTGAAAAGAGCAAATGGAACTTGGGCATGCCAACAGAATGACAAAGACAAAATGCTAGTGAGGCTGGCTGGTGTCTTCAGGGTATGAGTGCCTTTATGTTTCATGGTTTATTTGAACATCTGAGAGGCTTTTATGAAAATAGGAACCTGCTTCAAAAATTGTTCACTGTAGTGGTTTACAGCAGGGGGTGGGAGGGGATTATGTAGTAGAATACAAATGAAAATTAATTCAACTTTGTTCAGTATCTATTGAAAAGGAAAGAGAAACTTACTTATCTACCTGTAGTCCTCTTTATTTTCGTTTTTTTCAAGACAAGTGGAACAACTGTCACATGATTCTGCCAATGATAATTCATATTGTATAGTCAAATGAGTAGCCACACCAGCTTCATAGAATCATAGAATAGTTAGGGTTGGAAAAGACCTTAAGAATATCTAGTTCCAACCCCCCCTGCCATGGGCAGGGATGCCTCACATTAGACCATGCCACCCAAGGCTCTGTCCGACCTGGTCTTGAACACCGCCTGGGATGGAGCATTCACAACTTCCCTGGGCAACCCATTCCAGTGCCTCACCACCCTTACAGTAAAGAATTTCTTCCCTATATCCAATCTAAACTTCCCCTGTTTAAATTTTAACCCCCTACCCCATGTCCTGTCACTACAATCTCTAATGAGTAGTCCATCCCTGGCATTCCTATAGGTTCCCTTCAGATGCTGGAAGGCTGCTATGAGGTCTCCACGCAGCTTCTCTTCTCCAGGCTGAACAGCCCCAACTTTCTCAGCCTGTCTTCATACAGGAGGTGCACCAGTCCCCTGATCATCCTCATGGCCCTCCTCTGGAGTTGTTCCAACAGTTCCGTGTCCTTTTTATGTTGAGGACACCAGAACTGCCCCACAATACCCCAAGGGAGGTCTCACAAGAGCAGAGTAGAGGGTCAGGATCACCTCCTTCGACCTGCTGGTCACGCTCCTTTTGATGCAGCCCAGGATGCGGTTGGCTTTGTGGGCTGTGAGCACACACTGAAGCTGGCTCATGTTCATTTTCTCATCGAAAAGTGGGATTGTGTGTGTAAGTGCTGCTTATCATGGTATGCTGTGGGAACTGAGTTTAAACTGGCATCATCCACTCAGACCATTAAAAAGAAGCTGTTTTTACGATGGAAAAATTCCTGTTGTGTATAAATGTAAAGAATTAACTCTATTGATTAACTAAAATTTTAGAACAGTCTAATTGGAACAGTGCCTGATAAGGAAACATGGATTGATTACAGTGTTTATTGGGATACAAATACAGTGAAAAAGAACTAAACACCAACCGTGAACTCAAGCTAAAAAGGAATTCATTTTGTGAATCAGAATCATTGCACAAAAAAATTCCATATGACAGCAGAAGTACTTAGCACAGAGAAAGGAAGGGAGGCCACAGGAGCTTGTGTTTTCTTCTCTTGATGTAACATTATTAATGTTGATGGCATTTCTCCAGCAAATGTTTCACGTAAATCATCTGTCATCACTTGTAACAGAATGGTGGCATAAAGGAGTATTACAGTTGCCCTGTGATCTACCTAAAGGTAATTGCTTGCATAGGTTTTTATAGTTGTCAACTGACAAGGAAAAAAATGATTAAAAACATGGATTTACGTTCTGATGTACACTTCTCAGATGGAGTTAAAACTTTCAAATCTTCTCCCTTTCCATTATCCTTATCCATTCCAGATCTCTGTAACGTCCTTTTTCTATTATTCTAATTTCTTCTATCTCTTCCCACATCTAGGGTTGTTTGACACATCTCTAACTCCATCCTTTCCATCTTAGTGCTCCACCTGTTATCAGTTTGTTGGTCCTGCCCCTTCCCTGTTCCTTCAAGATCTGTCCTGTTTTCTATGACTGCTGGGACTTTCTGCTCCCATCAGGACTCTCACAGTTGCGTATTTCCTTCAGTACTCTGATTTTTAATCCAGAGTTTCCAGACCAATAGCACTTACGTTTTGTTTCTTTGTTTTCAAGAAGGACACATTTCTAATGCTTTGATTTGAGATCAGGATGACCTACCTAGCCCATCCCTAGATTGACCCTTCAGGTCTCATCTGCTGTTGGTAGGTTCCTGTGCTTCTGTTTCTCCTAAGGGAGCCTTACTGGTGTACTACTGTACACAAAGATTAGTGACATATGGAGTGCAGAAAGCAAAACCTGTCAGGGCTAGTCTGCTCTCACAGAAGAACTTTAAGACAGAGTGACAGCAAAGGGCATCCACCAGTGGTGCAGCAGAGCCTACGAACAACTACAAGCCTGAGTAGCTCTTAAACTACTGGAAACGAGCAGTTTGCTTTTCCTTGGCACCTGCTGCACGACAGCAGTCCTGTCTGGTGGGCCAGAATCCATTCACCATGGTGTGCTGCTGCCAGCATGTGATGTGGGTCATAGCATTCCTAGCAGTTTTGTTTGCCAGTATCAGCATCAGGCCTGCTGGTCTTCTCATGTGCTTTCAATTCTTTTATTTTAACTCCTCCTCACTTCCTGTTTGTTGCCTGCTATTTTGCCGCTGTTGCTGCTGGTTTTCCATTCTTTCAAGTCCTCCCAGTCCAGCTGTCCCCCAGACTGCCATGGACCCACCATCTCCCATATTCCACCCCTTCTGCTGCTACAGGGGCATCACCCACAGTTATTTCCTCTGCAGGAAATAACTATCATTCCTGCTGTACTACACACCATGGTTATTGGAGGGCATGAGTTAAATAACTAAATTGTCTTGAGACTGAGCACCATGTAAGGGTTACAGCATGATCGTATTTGTTCTGGGCAATCAACTTTATGTAATGGGAAACTCCATCCAAAGCCAGATCTAGGAAAAAGCTGGGTGAGGCTGTCAAATGCATAATGTTACCCTTGTCTGGTGCAGCTTTAAGCCGAAACTTCGCACTTCCACAAAATGTTCCTCAAAAGAGCAAGTTTGGCCCAGAAGTATTGTGTCTGGATGGTAATCTATCTGAGAAATCACTTTTACTTTTCTGCTAATTGCAAACTCTCTCAGATTCTGAGATTCACATTCCTATTTCTGGAAACAAATCCATGACCCCTGATAATTTGTTGTAACGGTTAACAGGAAAATGGAACTGTCATTTATGTTTCAGCTTGACTTTGTGTACAGACTCAGGCAATTACATCTCCATCTTTTAGTTAATTTTATCTGCTACAGACTCAGTTAAATTTACTTGCAGATTTCAGTTATATCCGGAAAGTCTGCAGGATATGAACAATTGCTGGTTGTATATTAATCACTGAGATGTTTTATCCTGACTTCCTAAGGAAATAAAGCTTATATGAGCAATTAATACATTTGTGTGCATGCTCCTTTGTCTGTCCTTTTCCTGTCTAATTGACTAATCATCTCAGTCAATTTCAGATTGACTAATTTACTAAGAAAAGTCATTCTTTTAGAAATGAATTGTGTACTCCTTAAATGCTGTGTTGTCCCTCATAGTTTTGGGTTATTTTTCTTCCTTTCACTGAGGAAAAGGTTACAATATTAACCTTCTACCTGTTAGTCTTAAGAAAACCCACACATGAGAGCAACAAGTGCCCCAACCACAGAATAGGCTTCAGTTGGTGAACATAACTTATTAGGCACTGTTACAAGCCACAAATGCAGAAGGAACCAATATAAGCAGTTTTGTTGCTCACAGAACCTCTGTTTTTGTTCACCTGATTTTCTTAAAATCCTGAATGCTGGGTCACATGACATGCATGGGAATAAAGTTTGAAAATAGTTATGATAATGGCTATTTAAACACTTCTAGTAAATGTTTAAGTTTCAAATGCTTTCAGCTGTGTATCTGTAAAGAAAAACATTTCTTGCTTTATTAAAATTATCAGATTTACAGTCAGACTTTTTTCCATGAGGTCAGCACATTCTTGTGGCTGGAAAAGGTCCATATCTACTAGCTTTCCACCAAGAAATGCTATAAATGCCTGCTAAGCCATCAGGGGCACAGAAGAATGTGGGATATGACACCATCTGTCCCTTGTGCTGTTCAGAAGATGAGTCCTTTGAGAGTGAGGGTCTGCAGACGGAGCAGGTAAAAATTAAAAAGCTGAAAGTTAGGAGATGACAATGTGGCTATATTACCCTCCACCCACATTCATGCTTTTGTAGCCTCCTTTGTCCCTGGAGCAAATCCAAAGAAGTTGAAAACAGCAGCAGGGGAAGGAAATACTCTGAGAAATTTGCCAAAATAGTGTAATTATGATTGACTGAAGGAGCACAACTGCCACAGGAGAGGATGCAGACTTTGAGGGCTGGCATGGATCTTCAATGCTTCTAGGCATATACTGTCAGGTATGCGAGGATAACCCAGAAATCACCTTCTCCTTCATAAGCAGTAAGCCAGAGCAGTGCAGAGATTAGGGCACCTGAGAAAATGGAGTTCAGACCCAGAGGAGTTGCAGGAGAGGACAGATCCTTGTGACAGAGTGCAAATACCATAATTTCTTGTCAAAGCAAGGAAGATCTACTGGAATTTAGCATAAGGCACAGATCTACCTCTTTGCTGTGACAGTGGCAGGCAAAACTTGAGGGGAGAAAAAAAAGAACAACTGGCTTTCTTGAAATTTTATTAGTGGTTGTATGTGAGATGGTAATAACATAGTACCTGTGATGCGCTAAAGATATAATCAAGTGATCTTTTTCTGGAGAAGCTAATTTACATGGTAATTATCTTGCTCAGTACGTATACAGTTGATGAAAATACAGACTATTTGGGGAGCACATAAGCTCTTCTCCAACTGACTTTTTTTGTGTGATGTTTTTAACTTTTAAAAATATTTCACATGATCTAAACATTTATAGATATCAGATTTGCTTTACAATTAGAAATATGTTTGCTTAGTTTACAAATGAACTAATATGATTCCCTACTGTCTTGCATCAGTTTACTTTAAGGTTATTATTGTTTATCATTTTTGTTCTAAAATGCAAATGCATGGTCCCACATGTGGTGAGCCCTGTAATGTTAGTTACTACAGAAATAAAGAATAAAAGGTAGCCAGAGGCTAAATTGACACCTAATTTATTTTTCATTTCATTCTTTGGTGAAGTAACCTTACTGTATTTTTAGATGACTTCTAAAGGTTTGCAATCAGCAAATACCATAATGATGTAACAATTTACCTAGTGTTTGCATATATGCAAAAATCCTTAATGCAAGCATGTCCAAGGTTATTTGAAATTGCATTGCTAAAGCAGAACAGGCAGTAAGTGCCATTGCAGACCATTTTAAGAGGATTGATCTTGTTTCAACTTTTCCGATATGTCCACAATTCTCATGCATTTCAAGGCCAATTCTTTTCAAAAAAGAAATCTACGTCTTAAGTGTGCAATGTTCTTTTACGTTAGTGGACCTGGAGAGTTTGCCTGTTAGACATCCGCTTTGCATCAGTACTGTGCTTCAACAAAATATGGAGAGTTACATAATCACCTTGGTCTTAACTGGCATATCAGTTGGCATTTATTGCAATGAACAGTGTATTTCCAATGTAACAGGTGATAAGAATGCCACTTCAGAAACAGCTTTTCGACCATGAGCAGGACATCTTACTCACAAAAGAGTTAATTTTGGTGAAAAGGTTCCAACTGATTTTCTAGCTCTCATTTTCATGCCATGCTCTTTGCAGAGCTGTCTGGTCTTCTAGATTTGCATATATTTTGGCCATTAAATTTGTTGGTACCACAGAAGTTGGTACCACAGAATTAAGGGTTTTACCAGAAAAAAAGAGCTACTTCATGGGAGTCCACAAGTTGAATTTGCAACATATCGGCAAGTGTAAACTAATGTGGCAGGGAACGTATTTTTATTAAGAAAAAACATCCTTATTGTTACTTAACTGTCCAGAATCTGTAAGAAAAATAATAAACTTACTGCATTTTTCACCTCAATTCAGTTTGATAACAAAAAGTATTTTTTCCCTGTTAATGAGAAACCTTGTATTTCACTTAGTTATAATCTCAGCTCTTGCTTGCTCTTCATGTCTCTGTCCTTAAAGATTAATGTACAATACTTGAGAATGCAGCTGACTGAATTCTTCAGTGAAACAATTTTTTAGCTGCACAATACTCATACACTGTATAATAAGGCACTTGCAAGAGCCTAGGTGCTTCAACAGGACTTTTACTGAAATGCAAAACTCCAAGAGAGCAAGAGGTATAATAGGTAATAGCCTTGTGATTGTGGAACTCTTTTGGGAGATAAGCAGAACATTCAGGAGCCTCTTCTGCCTTATTTAGGTGTTGGGCCTAGATTTCTCCTTCTTCATCTTAATTTAGTCCCTGAGTGCTAGGTATGAGAGAAATGGCTATACAGATCTAGTCCAATGATTATTCTGTCTACCTAGGATTTTGGGTACTCAGCTTCACAGCTTTGTCGCAGAGAATTTAAATGAAATATACAATAACAAAAAGTCATAATCCATTTCTACTTTAGGAAAACCACTGTAGAGTTGATTTCCTGATGGTTGAAGCAGATTCCTGGAACAGGGATGAATGGCAGACCTGCAGACTGAATCTGAATCTTTGACATCTTAGGTAAATTCCTCTCACTGCCAGACTTCTGTCTGTTCATCCATAAAATTGAAGGGGTTTAGTGTAATTTAGTAAAGAAAAAGAACAATTAAGAAACCTTAAAAATTTCCTAGTCTAACCTGATACTATCTTTCATCAATAGGGGCCATATTTAATAAAAAATATTTATGACTGCACATGATTATAAACTCATTTCAGTTTGAATGTGTATTTATATACTGATATCATTAAGAATTACTTTTGTCAGCAGTCAAATCTGGTCTTCTATGATGTTGACAATGTTCTGTATATAGAAAGGGAGAATCTCAGAGAAAACTTGACAAACTTTGTATACCTTCCAAGACAGTGATAAATTTTTGAGAAAAATTCAGTGGCCCCTCGTTTTTTTTGCATAAAGTATACTCTTAAAACTATCAGGTAAAACACACAGTGTTGTAATTTTATAACAACATTTAGCTGGTAATTAACATAGTAACAGATAAGTATTTGGTAAAAATAGAAACGGGTCTTAATTCTTTTTTATCATGGATGTCAACGTTTCTTTGCTGTGATTACATCTGGGCTATTTTCCCATTTTTTGAGGCTAAACATAAATTCAGATTACAAATATTTGCTTCTAAAGAATATTTACTGAAAGAGGAAAAGCCTAAAATAGTATGTCTTAGCAGGTTGCTTCTTTCGTAAACAGGATTAACATAAATGGTGCTGCCAGATTATGATGATTAATGGTTCAAAACTCTATAGATCTGCATTATGTAATGCACCTCATATCCTTGAAATGAGGATGGTCATTTGTCATTGTTGTTTACAGCTCAAATTACAACAGGTAATTTACAAGAATAGATCGTAGTGTTTTATAATTGCCTTTTTTTTTTTTTTAACTTGTGGTCTTATATTTGAATAAATATTAGGTCTCAAAGCAATGCATTCATTTTCTGTGTAGTGACGTGCAGTGGCTGGATAATCAATTATACATTTGTTTAGCTAAAATGACCTCTATCGTATTTCTCATACAGTCGGTACCCTATAAGTAGTCCCACAGAATAAAACCACACTCTTCCCACCAAGAAGCATTAATTTTCTACTTTTGGTTCTTCATCCCTACTCAGCCATGTGGCTGACAGGGTTTGCAGCTTATCCTTGGGGCTGGAGCTCATTCTACCTGCCCAGGGGAATTATTTTCTGGTCTTCTGTTTGCATGCCCTAACATGCCCCTTATGTTAGCCATACCCCCAACAACAGGGAAGGTTGTTTTCTCATGGGCCCTCCGTGGCACCTCTCCTTACCCGTGCTGTATCCCCCTGTTTTAGACAATGCATAAAATCTCTGACTTGGCTCATACCCACTGTATGGCTCATCAGATGCTGCGAGGTTCATTAAAAGCCACATGATATTTCGTATTCAAAGAATTTCTCTGAAACTCTCTGTACTTTTTCACAGAATTACAAAAATGTATGTAACATGTGTCAGACAGAAAAACCTGATTCATGTTTTTGGGCTTTTTTTGTGTGTTTTTTTTTGTGGGTTGTTTTTTTTTTTTTTTTTTGGTGGGAACGCACTAAGAATCCAGTGTTTTGGCTTGTGATACATTCTAATGTGCCCTAATATTTTGAATGGGAAATTCCATTAGATCACTGACTTATGGTTCTGGAATTGCTCAGTGACCTCAAGTGCTGGAGGACAGATGTAGCTTGCCTTCTTTATTTACTGATACTGGCTCATAAATGTATCTTGTTAGCTTGGACAACAGAGACAAGCTCCCCTGTGGGCCACTTAGTTGAACTTGACTGAAGAATGTCTGCCCCTGGAAAGAAAAATATTTGATTTCCAACAGAGAACTGGACGTTTCTGTGCCAAATGGGACAGTGTTTGGAAAAAGCTGGAACAGAATGGAAAGAAGTTTAAATTATCATGCTAAGACTGAAAGTTATTACATAGATACCTAAAACCAAAATACACCTATGTGGGTATCTGTCTACTGTAAATGTTCCTCCTTTTCTATTTTCAATCAGTGTTAACTGCATAAAGCTAATGTATAATCATTCCTTGGAACTTCCTCTCAAAAATATAGGCACATTTTGTTAAATGTGTAACATAGGCAGCAAGTGATATGGCCATATCAAGCCGTTTAAAAGAAGACATGGGCAGGTCAGATCTATCTTCAAAGACTAGAGGGCCCTGCAAAATTCATAGTACCAGAGCTAGATGCCTTTGTATCTAGTGTCATATACAATTATAGTTTAGCCTGGAGGAGCTCTCTCTCTGTTGCCTGTCCCAGAGATATCAGAATTTCAGTATTAAGACTCAATATAGTATACAGATTTTTAGTTCGGAGCCAGTATATTTGAATCAAGGACAACTGCTGTCATCAGGTGAAGATTTTAGTTTTAATCAGCCCCCTTCAAACACATATCTGCTCCATATAGGTACGTGTTTATGTATCTGAATACATATGTATACATACACGTTATTTTGGCACTGGTACTCAGATCTTTCTCATAATACTGTTTTCCATTATCTGTCCTTGCATATCTCCTTTCAGTGGACACAATATATACTTATAGATTGAGAATTTGAAAGGAAAAGAATCCATATATTCTGTGAAGGCATCTGTGTGGTTTTATATAAGATTTTTATAAGACTGAAATTAAAAAGGGCAAAGAGAACATCATAAAGGTAAACTTGTAGAATTTAACAGAATGTTATAATAATGTTATGTTTTTCTTTTATCTTACAGATTTCATTAGGAAGTAGTAGTCACATTATAGAATCTTGTAAGATAATGTAAGAAATAAGAAGGACCAATACTCTCATAAATTCTGTAAGTTTTAAAGTCATTTCTGTACAATCCTCTCAAGCCTCCTCATCTCTGGTGGGTTCTAAGGGATTTTCTGTAGAGACTGTCCTCTTCAGTTTGTTCACAGGAAGGCTGAAGGCATGGATACAGCTGGATGATGCATGTGCCTCATTCAGTGAATTACTTACTAGTAGATATCATTTGCTGCCTTGCCAAGCAGCAACAAAATAGTAGCAGAGCAGACTCCCATATCAGGTAACACACATGCACCAGCTGTCCCTTTAACCCACTGCTCTCTTCCTTTCTCATAAACCCGTTCTTTTTTCATCCTTAGATATTAATGTTTTTCACTTATGAATAACTTTGTTTACAATGTCACATCTTAAGTACCCAGTGAATTATGGAAAATTTTGTGTCATGGAAATAAAATGCTCACTTCATACAGATAAAAGAAACACCGAAGTTTGCCCTTCCTGTTAGTATTTGTGTAACTTTAAGGGATGCCTTTGTGTCATGCACACAGGTGCCATGTGGTGCAGGATTTACCATGGAAACAACACTACAGAATGCAAGATCAGGCTTCAGAATAGCTTTATCTTAATCACCTTCAGTTCTTCCATATATTCCAAGTGTTCTTCTTTGCTCAACATGGAGTGAACATGAAACATAACAAATCTGTGGGCTGAAGGACAATATGCTTCACTTGCACAACTTTTCAGTCATTGCCAACCTGTTTTAGTAATAAATTCCTGTTGTTCCGAGGCCTTGGGTGATATGATTTAGCGTAAGGTGTCCCTGCCCATGGCAGGGGGGTTGGAACTAGATGATCTTAAGGTCCTTTCCAACCCTAACTATTCTATGATTCTATGATTATGTGTATAGAAAAGACAAGTCACAGACAAAGCATGTATATACATTTTCTACATATCCTCAGAAGATGTTGTAAGCAGACATCTGCCAGTGAGATGTACTCAGTACTGAAGGAGACTTCAGTACCTTAAGCAGTGGATAAGTGATGTTGTTCCCATAAAAGGTCTATCACTGGTCCTACACTGTTTTATGGAATAAAAGAGAATAGTTAGTTTGAGAGGGGACCTAAGATACCATGGAACCTGTGGATACATGTCAGTTGAGCACAACCACTCTTTTATCTGACTGAGACCTCTATCAAACAATGCTTCCTTCCTTGAATATGGATTTCCTCATATGAAGGAGCTTTTAATTGATTCTTTTGTATTATAAGATGTTCTCAAAGGAAACAGAAAGTGTACATGATATAATGCTGTAGATAAAGAACTTTTTTCTAACAATAGTAATGACTGGCCAAATTTGTCAAATGTTTGTATACAACACAATTCAGATCAATACTTTTCTATTGTATCATTCAAGCTTGTCGACCAACAGAACTAAATAAACATTCTTAAACCTTTATACTCTCAGATTTAGAAAAGAATGACAAACAATGGTGAAAAAATATGTCAGTGTTTAGTACAATATACAGTTATTAAGTATATATGTTATATATGACTAACATTAGCATGAAAACAATACCAACACAACTGTGCACAGATACATATTTAAACTATGATCATGTCACATATAACTTCATCTCTGTCATTCAGCCACCTAAATTTTTGTTTTCTTACTGGGGCAGAGGGGGAAGTTTCTTTTTCCTATGTTGACAACTAAAGTATGTTCTTAAGACATCATATATGTGATGATATGAAAAATCCTGCTCAGCCCTAGCTGTGAATGAATCATCTCATGATTTCAGAGAACAGAATCAGTGTGGACTGCAAATGGGCAGATACAGAAAGGGAGGAATTTCCAAGAGATGGATTTCACTTACATCATCTCATAGAAGCAAAGTTTTACTGAGGAATGTTTACAAAAAAAGACATGAGAAGTGTCAATATAAAAAATTAAGGAATAGAAAAGCTTACAGTGAGGACCTCTAAGTAGCTGTAACATTTGTCTAGCAGAATTCAAGATACACAAAATGAAAGGAAATTGCTATTGATAATGTTAGGAGGAAGAACAAAGAAGATTTATGAGTAAGAAAGAGAAGAGGAAGCACAGCAGATGTATGAAGTACATTTATGAAGTAGAAATGAGATAAGACTGTGAAGGAAAGTCATGGTCACACATGAAAGACCAACATACACCCAGTAAGCATGTAGGAAACAATGGTGGCTGTTCAAAAATAGACTGGATGGCAATCTGGATGGATCAGCATTTAATGAAGAGAAAGCTACATGGACATTTTGGTAAGAAGAACAATCATTTCAGAAAAGAAAAGCAGAAAAATCCTGCCGAAGCTAGAAGGAGGGAAAAGGTCAAATGAGTGGTCACAATCAAGAAATGCAGTTTCCTTCATAATTAAGAAATTACAAGTCTTATTCTAGTGTTGAAATAGTGACTGTGTGTACTTCCACACAGTCACTTCCCTTTATCTGCTCTTCTCAAAATCTGTTGCCAATGCATCTTTTCCCTTTCAAGATAATGTTCTGTGCTTCTCTTGGCTTCTTTAATAGCCAAACATGCGATCTGACATTAGATATTGACACAGGAGTGGACTTGTTAGTTCACAGGGTCATAAAAATGAAAAGGATGAAATGCACAAGAATTTCATTGTCATTGTGGTTGTTCATTAGGACAGGGATTTTACAGGCTATAGGTTTTTTATGAAATCACAGTCAAACATTCAGCAGTGACAACTGCCATCACAAGTTCCAGAAACTGGTGAAGGAGGGAAGCACCCTGATGCTTAGCAGCTGTGAGCAGTAGTGGCTGTGGAAGCTCTCACCACTTCAGCATCTGTATCAAGCAGTCGTTGTCATCGTGTGACACAGACCAGAGTTCTTCTCACTTATCTCCCAGATCCATGACTGCCTACAATGTAAGATGTCCCTAGAAGAAGGTTTATTACTATTTTAATTTAACCAGTTCTGTGTATAAAATTCTACTGCATGTATAATTTGTTCTGTTTCCATTTTGAAAGTCTTGCTGGATTGAATTAATTTTCAATAATTATGAAGCATGAATACCAGTCTGGGTATTCAGCTGCTGCTAAGCCTGAAAATGAATTCAAACATGGAAACCAGATTGACTTATTTCTCATTCATTATCAAAAAAAAATTAAAAGAAATTACAGGCTAAAAAGGCTACCTGAGGCAGGTCTCATGTGCAAAAGCAGCAGCAATATAAACATATATTACATAAAAGACAAAGCAATTAATACCTGTACAACAAAGTGCATAAAGAACTCGTTCATACGCAATGATAACTATGGTTATAAACTAGCCTATTAATCTGTAAAGCAAACTTTGTAATCAGTCCAGTAATTTTCAGTCTCAAATAAGCCATTTGATGGAAGTCTAATTAGATTTGTGTTTCAGTTCTGGGAATATAATTGTATGTGCTTTTTCTACTGCTTTATAGGCCATAACAAGTTGTTCCCAGGACACTTAACAGACAAGTTTCATCCTTCACTGGAGCTTAGAGTACATTTAGGACACGTCCTGCAGAGCTGTTCACTGTAGTGGTTCAAGGACACCTGGTGCTGTGGAACAAATGTTTTATTTACAAATACAGATTTAATGAGTTTCTGACTTGCAGTAAGATATTCTTTGATCCTGAAAAAGAAAAGGTGATAAATACTAGCGTAATGCAAACAGATAAGATGATTTAAACTAAAGCATGTCATAGCTATCAAAAGCATCCCAATGCTGTAGTACTGAAGTAAGAGTTCTTTGATAAACAATCCACTGGGACTGTAATGTAATTTTAATACCTTCCATGGAAACTCCTGGTTAAAAGACAGTAAGTGTCCAAGTCACTGATGCGATAGCTCAGAAGCAGACAATTCACTTTAATAATGGTGGGTTAGTGTCAGACAAAATTGAGTTTTATGACATTGTTTTATGACTGTGTTTTTCACAATCACTTACAAAGACTGCTTATAATCACTCTGGCACTGCTAGGATATTATACTAGTATAGCATTTCTGTACCCCTGTTTATGCTCAGTATATCTTACGTACTTGGTTATGTAACTGTGTTCAGCCACGTCAGTGCCAATGGGCAGTGGCACAAGAACTGATGATCTCCAGCACCACTGAGTGGCAGTCCGGTTCTACATGCTAATGCCTGCATCACAAATCCAGCACCCTCCCTCACCCAGGGTGTTTGGTCCGTGGGAGTAATACATCAACATTTCAATACGACATTGTTGACATGACAAGCAGCCAATTCACCCACTTGAAAAACAGCCTACATTGAGAAAAGACATTATAAAGAGACTCTTTATGGTGGAATTTTAACAAATAAATGCCATACATTCACATCTGCCGACTTAAAATTCAAAATACTTGAGAATTACAAGTACTTGTGAAAATAATGAGGTTTTGTGTTCAGAGGAAGCTGTACAATGATTCTGATGTATACATTTATGAAATATTGCTGTTTGTCTTGCAGCAAGCATATAGAGGCTCCAAGGAAAAATTGAGTTTATGCAGAGTACTTCCTACAAAAAAAAAACCTAGCACAGAGATGGCTCAGATAAAGGGCACAAGCAACCTACTTCAGATAATATACAGGAAGTAGAGAAAAAATGGGTGAAGAAATCAGTTATCCTCTATCCAATGAAAGATCATTTTGATTCCAACTTTGATGGAAGCTAGTTACTTGCTGACTCTTGTGGTACTAGTCTATTTTCTCACATGAAGAATTGTTCATATTGCAGATATGTTAGACTGACTACAATGTGGAAGAAAAATATGGTAACTCTGGTCTCACTCATCAGTCTGGGGAGAAAAACAGTTTTGGCTTGGATAACTAAATATATTCACTTCTTCACATAAGTTCAAAGCAATTAAAACCTACCACATGACAATTCAAGATAGTCAGTAAAAGAAATGCTGTTTTGAAAGGCATCTTTCTCCATGCTTTTTATATTTTTTTCTGTTTTCATAAGTGTGTTGGCAGGCTTGTACTTTTGTCCAATACAGATCTAATCGTCACACCTCAGAGTTACAAAGTCATGGTACAAATCTCTGTCTTAGAACATGGAAAAAATAACTTTATTAGAATGAAGAAAATTAGAGCCAGACAATTTGCTTTTCTCTCCTCTGAAGAGTTTCAGTCTAAAGCACCCTTCACTCCACACTTCCTGACAGGCTTTGTAAAAATAGCAAAGTAATATAAGTTCAGATGTCTTCATATCCCTTGTTTTCTTTTTCAAGTCTTGGCGTTGTCTTGGCGTCCTTCCATCCTTCTCCAGATTTTTACATTCTCTTTTATTTTACCTGTTCTTAAAACCTCTGAATTTTCACTCATCTCTGTCATTTCTGTATCCTGCTTTCTCCTGCATCTCACTCAAGCCTCCAATGACAGTTTCAGCAGCAATTTTGTTGTGGACTGTGAGCCAGCCAGGGGGCTTTCAAATCCAAGGAGAAGAGAAAACTGTCTCTGTTAAGGCATCTCATGCATCATAGCCCCAAGCTTTGTCATCATAAGACTTTGGTGTAAGTGATCCAGACACAGCTGTCACCTCAGACACTTCCTTATCTGGCTCCTGGATGACAACCTCAATGCTGAAAAGAATCTGGACAAGGGACTGAAATTTAAGAGGTAAAACAGGTTTAGCAGCAGAGAATATTTACAAGAGGACAAAGAAAAAAGTGGATCTAAAAAGAAAAATAAGGAGAAAAAGGAAGAAGGTGAAATGAATGGGAAGACTTCTCCCGTTCCCATCAG